TATTCAACACAGCAGAGCGTAAGTACTAGTTATTGCCGTATATATCAAAATTCTTAACACATTACATAGCACAGTTATACAAAACTAAACAAAACTAAAACGTCTAAGGTAATTGTCACCTTGTCATTAGCCAGTTGCTGTAACAGCTAAAAAAGTTAAAGCTCCAAGCAAGCCAAGGCAAGCCCTGATAAAATAAGCCTTACAGCCCTAGTCCCACAGGTGAAAGTAGTGCAAGACCTGTGGCTGGTAATAGGCCTGGCAATACTGTCTTCCCTGGATTACAAGGCTGCATAATAAATAGTAATCCAGGCAATGCAACCAATGGAGCGTGGAAAGCTATTCAGCTCACCAGAATAATTTAGTTAAAATTGTAACAGCAGACATATGTAAAAAGCTACCTTGAGTATTATCTTTCTTTACTGCTGAGACTTTATAACTTGAATGCTTTCTAAACCACCTTTATTAGATATGAAATTAGGTGTGAAATTCTACTCTAAGTACTTGATACTTTTGCGTGTCAAATCTAAAAGACATCAGAGACTGGATGGACCTGTTTATACACACAAAGGAAAGGCTTGAGATTGTACTGAAAATTTTACTCTTGATTTTTTTTTTCGAGTAAATGTCAGCTTCCTGCCTTAAAGCCTGTTTCCAGTCTCCTTTTCTGGAGACTTCTCTTCCATGAAAGGTTCCAAATAAAACAAGTTTTAAAAGAAAGTATTGTGAAAACTTCCTTAAAAATTGCATTAATTAAAACATATATAGCATTTCTGGAATATAGTTTTTTATGACGTTCTGTCCTCATTAGGACAAATAATCCCAAATTACTAGCAATAAATAAAATAGTTCTATCAAAAGCAAAAAATGAACATAAGGTGAAGATTTTCTTTCTGGTGAGTAAAGTCTTAAGTGAATGACCTAAGTGAGTTGCATGGTAGGGAGAAGGATTTTGCTTCTGTGATCTTCTTTTCTTTATTTTCTTTTTTATTGTGTTTTGCAGGAGCGATGAATTCAAGGAAAGAGAAATGTTTTGTACATGTCTTTATATGCAGACGAATGTAGCACATAAATCTGATTCAGAACAAAGACTCTTGCCCAGTTGAAAGGAGAGTTTGCATATCTTGCCATGGTAGTCTTTGTGACATCAATTTCCTGAAGCACTGATTAAGCTACATGCAATAATGAGGATAAATAAACCAGATAAAGAAAAGAATAACTGAGCTTACCCTAATTTTTTGTATATGTGGCTTGATCATTTGTTTATGGTCACAGTTATTTAATATTCTACTTTGAGATCAGAGTTTATGTATTAATTCTTTATGCTGTAATCTTGGTATGCATATCTGCTGAGGGGGGGAACAGAAAGGCAAAAACATTTATTCTTATGAATTTCAATCTCAGATCTATAAATGGTCTGTCATTTTTTGGCTTCAACAGCAAAGTGTTGCTAAATCGATCTGGAAAGGCATTTCTTAATTTTGCAAATCTTCTCCAAGAGCCCAGTCTTTGGGGGTTTGATAGAAGGAAGAGACTCAATAAATTGTCCATATTTTCTATACCCAAGTAGCCACAGGCTCTTTCTGTCATTTGGTTACTATTTTATGCTCTGAATGAAATTCTTGTGGAATGTTTTTAGAAATGCAGTTTCCTAGCCCTCTGACCTTCCCATGTGTCCTGTTACTGCCAAATGAGAGAGGTCTTCATCCTCTGTCTTTGCTTAGAAGGACCTACCCAAAAGCCAGTTTTGGGATCCCAAGACTCTTAATGATTGAGTTCATATCAATGACCCATAAAGAAGCTGCATTTTATTTTTGCTGGCATTATTTTGTGCCATTAGAGTCAGTTTCCAGATGCAGAAGTAGCCAGATGTGTAAGTCCTTTTGCAAATGGGAGAACAGAGCCTTTTCGTTGACTCCTTAATTGGCTTATCCCATCTTGTAGAAAGACAGACTAAGGATGTTATTTCATTATCAGCCTTAGTCAATGTAAGACTTCTGCCACCAAAATGCAGTGTGCTTTCTTTGCCTCCACATGATGTGTGCATTTGCATCCATCTGCTGGTGCTTATGGACCTGTGCAGTCAGCCACACTGATGGGGTCAAAACCAAACCCTACTAGGAGAGAGAGAAGAAAAAAGAGACTTACTGGACTTACTGGTCCAGTTAAATGTGCAGCTGCTTAGGTGAGGGGAGCTGGCACAAAGGAAGAGTGGGCCGTGCGGTGGATAACATGCCTTCCCCCTTTTAACAGCAGTGCAGTCTGTGAGAATACACCATAAAGATGGCATTTTCAAAGAATCATATACTCTTATTAATCTCATCAGTTAAAGCCTCCTTGAGAACAGAATTATGGCAGTTTAAAAATTCCTGCAAATCACACTTTTAAGGGCTATCTGCCTTAATTCCCATATTTGCAAATGAGACTGTCATTGCTGGTGGAACCAAACCATAGTTCACATTTTTAACCTGCACACAGAGTCCATAAGAAAGAATGCCACATAAAACCACTGCATTAAGTGTCTAGGAGACTTAAATGGGTGGAATTTACTTTTTTCCCCTGAAAAG